GAGGGGAAGAGTGGGAGGAACTGAGAACTGGAGTGGCACAGTGATTAGAGCATCAGACTTGGTTCTGGGATGCCCAGATTAGAATCCCTGCTCTCCTATGGAAGTTCACCAGCGATCCTGGGCCTGTCACCATCTTTCAACCTAACCTACCTCACAAAGTTGTTGTCGTGAGTGAAGATAGAGTGAAGGAGGGGAGCATGATGTGATAAGCTGCTTTGGCTCCCTATTAGTGAGAGAAGCAGGATATAAGGAACATGTATAGCAGAGGCAACTTCTTGCTGAGGATTTACTCTTCATCTTTCAGACATTTCACAAATCTTGGACATGGCCGGAGGTACAAGCCAAAAAGTTCTTGTCCCATGGCCTGTGCCAGCCAATGAGCCCAAGACCAGGTCAAGATGTAGTTTGTTTGTTATCGTTTTGTTCGTTGTTTATTGGATTACTGAGATTGATGGATATAGAAGAATATGATTCTGCTTTCAATTGCAATGCATATCTTCTCTTGACTAGTCGAATGCCCAGCAACTGCTAAAAAATATGTGCTGTAGGAGCCATGTTGTAGAATTATGTGTGCCTGTACTGGAAAGACAAACTGAGGCTGTTGGAAGTTTGAAAGTTAAATGGTTTTCACAGGAAATCCCCGTGCAGAGGTTCCTGAGGCTGTTCTAAGATGGATATCCTCATACACGTTCACTCCACTGGGTCATATATATTTATAGAGGCATAGCAGGAAAGACACTTTATGAAGAAGGAACTCTCCAGCATCAGCTGCAGCTTTAATGAGTGAAAAATAACAATAAAAGATGCAGCTAAAATCCTGTTCAGTCCTGTACAGTCTATCCCTGGAAGCGAGTGCTTTCCCTTTGAAGGCACGGCTAAGATTATTTATGGCGGAATAATGGGATGTTTCAATAAAACTCAAACCTGCTTTTTTTCATGTGGTATCGTATAATTCTCCCTGTGAATGATCACATGATAAGCAGCATGGGCATGGCTGTGCATTAACATTTGTTAATAATCCTTAGTGTTTATTAACAAACAGGTGGCCTTTAGAAAACAATTTATATGTTCAAAGCCCTAATGCCTGAATAAACATAAGGCTCAGCAGATTCATCCTGCTAGGATATCTCTTGACTCATTATGCATCCAGTTCTGCTTTCATGATGTGCTGTGATCTTACGACTCAGTGGTAGAAACTGTAGATGCTTCAGTAAGAATAAGCCAGCATCCTCAAAGTGAAAAAGCCATCCCTCTAGATCATCTGTCTTTTCAAAAATGTGGATAGATTAGTACCGATATATCCTTGCCAGCATGGTTCCGCTTTTAAAATGATATGTGGCTGAAGTACTTCTTTGCATTCCTATTCAGCCTCCACTGCATCCACTAGCTCTCGCCCTGCACAATTGTTTAGGGTGATTAGATCCTTAACATCTCTCACGGAACAATTCAACCATTAGCTGTGACGCCTTTGCAAGATTTTTTGTGGACAAAGTCTTGTCACTCCACCGCCAAACTACCTGCCAATGTTGATATAGTATGTGAACTGGAGGCCCCCTGGCCGCCTCTGGACCCAGTATTTGATAACGTCAGCTGGCTTCCCTGTGCCAATGTAGACAGGAAACTGTTCCCTGGAGTCAGGGGTCTCCCCAGAGGCACTGAAAGAGGCTGTGGTGGTACCACTCTTGAAAAAAAAATCATTGAATCCTACAGATCCCGCCAATTAGCACCCAGTTTCAAATCTGACATTTCTGGGTAAGGTAACTGAGAGAGAAGTAGCCGAGCAGCTCCGGAGTTTCCTGGATGACACATCGACACTGGACCCATGTCAGTCGGGTTTTTGACCCAGCCACAGGATGGAGATGGTGCTGGTTGCCTTTATGGATGATCTCTGAAGACAGCTGGATTGAGATGGGTCGGTGCTGCTGTTGCTACTTGATCTCAGAGCAGCATTTGACACAGTTGACCACTGTTAAGTCTGGTGCTTAACAAATAGTCAGAGAGTGATTTCAGCAAAAACTCAGGTTTATTCAGCTCGGTGATCACTTCTCCAACACGGTACAACATTCGATAGCCCGAACAGTTTGTCCATTGAAACTGCTCGGTATTTAAACATTCCCGGCTAACATAGCCACTCCTACTTTACATTTAACAACCTATCAGGTTGAACGCATAAGGTCCAATCACCAACGTTCCCGCTTACAGCTAGCTTGAACGTGATTGGTCTGTTAGTCTCGGACTTGAATCCCTGTCGGAGACGAAGCTTAACATAGCTTCCCTATGGGATGTTTCACCATACATCCGCATGTACTCATGTCAGCATATGAATACATTACAACCACGATCTTTTGACCCACCACCTCCCCAGTTCAGGAGTTCATGGGATGGCTTTGAAGTGGCTTACCTCATTTTTCCTTGGTTGGGGACAGAGGGTAGCGCTAGGGGAGAGGGTGTCAGTTAGGTATCCCTTAACATGTGGGGTCTCTCAGGGGGCAATCTGCTCTCTGATTTTAACATCTATATGTGCCCCCTTGCCCAGATGGCGCAGAGTTTCAGACTGGGTTGTCATCAATATGCTGATGACACCCAGCTATATCTGTTAATGGGCGGCTGCCCAAATACTGCCCAGCATAACCTGGCTGAGGGTCTAGAGGCTCTGGTGGGGGGCTAAGAAAGAGCTGGCTGAGACTGAATCCAATGAAGATGGAGGTTATGTGGCTGAGAGGAGGGATTCAGGGCTGGGGCACCAACTGCCCGCTCTTGACGGTCAGCCACTGTTACTGGCACAAGCCGTCAGGAGTTTGGGTGTCATGGATACCTCCTTATCTATGGAAGTCCAGATCACAAATGTTGCCAAGCTGGTACTTTTCCACCTGTGCAAAGTGTGGCAGCTGGCCCCTTTCCTGTCTTGCCCTGAACTAGCCACACTAATCAACACAACAGTCACCTCCAGATTGGATTACTGAAACTCGCTTTATGCTGGCCCACCCTTGAGACTGATCTAGAAACTCCAACTGATTCAGAATGCGGTGGCGCGAGTCCTAACAGGAATGTCATGGACAGCAAACATACAACCTCTGCTGTGCCAGCTACCGTGGCTCCTAGTGGAGGACTTGGTCAGGCTCAAAGTCCTGGTATCGACCTTTAAGGCCTTGAGCAGTCTGGAACCCTTGTATCTTTGGGACCGCCTCCTCTAGTATGTCCCCCAAAGAGCTTTACGCTCTGTTGAGAACAACTTATTGGTGATCCCTGGCCAGAAAGACATATGGCTGTCCTTGACCAGAACCAGGGCTTTCTCAGCCCTGGTGGAATTCTCTGCCAAATAACATCCACGCCCTGTGAGACCTGATGCAGTTCTACAGGGCCTGCAAGGCAGAGATGTTCCACCAGGTTTTTGGCTGAGGACAGTGATGGGCTCTGTCTAGGCTGGGATTCCTCCCCTCCCCCTTTTCATGCTTTCTCTCTACCTCTCCCACCAAGTGATGACACAGTCTGAAATCCGATGTATTAGTGCCATTTAAAAATGGTTTTAAGAAGTGTTTTCTTATGATATGTGTTTCCATTATGATATGTATCTCTATCGTTGTTTATCACTCAAAGCCCTGAGTACTCAGGGACTGGGCGATTCATAAATCCAAATAATAACTAAATAAAGATTATGGCTTTTCTTCAAGAACCATGTGCCACAGCTCCATGAAATAGCACTTTCTGAGGATCTCTTCTGTGGTAACATATAGCAACGTATTGCTTGTTCAATGCTTGTGATGTTTATTGTTGTAAATGATTGTTTAAAAATGAATAAAAATATATTTTTTTAAAAAAACACCATATAGCAACGTAGCAACCCCTGCATCACATTGCTTCCTGCTTCTCTTGGTAATGTTGGAACTCCCAAGTCTTCTGGGAGGAGCCCTGCTTACGACATGACTCCTGTGACAAAATTACTTAGATTTCAGACTTCCAACATTATGGAGCAGTTTGAGAAGATAATGTGCTGCTGCAGCTCTTGGACCAGTAAAACAACATGAGAGTCTTGTGATACCTTAAACACTAACAAGCTAAGGTCAGACCACACTTCATCTCATTCAAGGGAGTAGAAATACTGACTCATTTGACTGGATCTTGTTTTCACCTGTCTCTTGGATGGCAGGGCCGTCTGGCTTCTGTTTGTTATAACCAGCCTCTTCCTGCCCTTCTGAGGTATATTTGTGTATGTCCACTGAATCTAACACTTCAGATACCTCAGGAAGTTTTCTCTGGTTCATGAAACCATATGCCCCAGCAGGTCTGTCAGCCTTCCAAGTGCCTCATGGCACATTTACTATTCTAAAAACAAGTTCTCTTTCTTTAAATGGAACTCTCACATCACAAAAGCCTGGTTTTGTTTTTAAGTTCTAGATGGGGCAGTGCACCCATCCCGGGTACAGGCCTGGTTGACACCAAGTTTAAGTTTGCTGTATAGATGGGCCCTGAAGACCAACACTCACGGAGAATCCATTTATGGAAATGAATATGGAAATCCATATGTAGTACTGCATGAATGGTCACTTTGTGTGTGGAAGTGAACTTCGATGGACTTAGAAGGTTGTAACTTTGCTTAGGGTAACAATGGAATTCTTGCATAAGAAGAATTCCTGTTAGCTAGTGGGAATCTAAGGATCTCTATTTCCATTCATAGTACAAAGCAACAGTGTGGTTCAGTGTTCCCTCTAAGCTGAGTTAATGTGAGCTAGTTCACAGTTTTTTAGCCTCCGGTGGACACATTTGTGTCTTATCTCAGGAAGAATGGCTCCAGAGCGAACTAATTTATGCAGTAGCCAAATTGCTCACTCCCAACTTTAATGCCAGTAGCTCACAAAGTAGACTTTTTGCTCACAAGACTCCACAGCTTAGAGGGAGCATTGGTGTGGTTAACTAAAGTGATCAATATTATACTTTGCCCAAGTCGTCCTGTAAGGGGGAAGAGGTGAAAGGCCTAATAAGCTTTCTCACTCCCAGCTTACCTTTGTAGTCCATAACTTGACAGTCCAGTCAAATGATGATGTGACAAAGAGATGGGAGAAGTCAACTGGACCGACAGCCATGTGGCAATTGATTCCTGTGACAGGACCTTGATGACCCTCAAAGATTTCACCGATGCCCGCTTTACTGCAGAAAGGCAGATACATACATTCAGGAAGTAGCCAACATCACAAGATATCCCTTATCCTAGGGTGTCACTGTCATGGTTCCCTTAGGGTCACTGGCAGGATTCCCCAGGTTTGGATCCATGGGGCATCTGACCATTACTACCAAGACAGACAGTTCCTCTCTTAATGCTTGAAGGGGAAATCTGTTGGGGTAGGAGAGAATACTGGACTTAGAGGATACACACCATCCTCTGAGGATGAAATGAAGCAAGCAGCAGGCTACTGGTTTCCCTTCAGTATTACAGCTGAGGGTTCACATCTGCACAGCCCTCAACCCCTGTCAGTTTTGGGTTATTTTTTGTGAATGTGAGAGGCTGGCTTAAAAAAAAAGAAGAAGGTATATGCCTGCATGCCTCAGGAGACACCTTATGTGTGAGGGCAGACCTACTCCTACTGTTGCCTCCTCATGTTTTGTCATTCAGAGTTTCTGTATGCCATCCACTGTCTTAACAGAGGTGGCAATAACAGAGGTAATCAATACTGGCAATACAATGATAAACTGAGGCATTTGAATTATTACATATAATGAATATGATAAAATATGCTATGTAAAACTGAAACATGTTGAAGTCATAGCATTAATTCACAACAGGCGTATTGAAAGTTATTTAAGGGTAGTTTCACAAGAAACAACCGCATTGAAATGGTTAAAACATAATCATTTCAACAAACATGAGGAACTGATCTTCTTCTGAATGACATCCAAGGGCTATACTTTCACAGCATGGAAAGAAAGGAAGGAAGGAAGGAAGGAAGGAAGGAAGGAAGGAAGGAAGGAAGGAAGGAAATCATATTCAGCCCCTTACCATCAGTGGTTCAGACCAAGATGTTACATTTAACACACAGCTGCTGCTGACAATGGCAGTCCTGTGTCAGTCTTCTGGAGAACCACACTCAAAGAGTAGTTGTCAGTGGCATTTCATCTGAATGGAGGGAGGTGTCCAGTGGAGTGTCACAGGGCTCAGTTCTGGGCCTGGTACTTTTCAATATTTTTATAAATTATCTGGATGAGGGTGTGGAGGGGCTACTCATTAAATTTGCAGATGACACCAAACTGGGAGGAGCAACGAACACACCAGCAGATAGAGATAGAATTCAACAAGATCTGAACACAATGGAAAAGTGGGTGATGTGAACAAGATGCAATTTAACAAGGATAAGTGACGAGTTTTACATCTGGGTAACAAAAATGAGGAACATGCGTACTGGATGGGGAATACACTTCTGTGTAGCAGTGTGTGTGAAGAAGATCTTAGGATAAGGATGGACCATAAGTTAAATATGAGCAGCCAGTGTGATGTGGCAACAAAAAAGGCTAGTGTGATCTTGGGGTGTATCAACAAAGGAATAACATCCAAATAGCAAGATGTCATAGTCCCGCTGCACACTGTATTTGTCAGGCCGCACCTGGAATACTGTGTGCAGTTCTGGAAGCCTCACTTCCAAAAGGATGTGGACAGAATGGAGCAGGTGCAGAGAAGAGCAAGAAGGATGATCGGAGGCCTGGAGACCAAGCTCTATGAGGAAAGGCTGAGGGACTTGGGAATGTTGTCTGGAGAAAATGAACTTGAGGGGGGCATGACTGCTCTCTTTAAGTATTTGAAGGGCTATCACTTAGAGGAGGGCAGGGAGCTGTTCCTGTTAGCAGCAGAGGATAGGACTCGCAATAATGGGTTTAAATTAAGGACGAGAAGGTACCGGCTAGATATTAGGAAGAAGTAAGAGTTGTGCAACAGTGGAATCAGCTGCCTAGGGAGGTGGTGAGCTCCCCCTCACTGGCAGTCTTTAAGCAGCAGCTGGACAAACACTTGTCAGGGATGCACCAGGCTGATCCTGCCTTGAGCAGGGGGTTGGACTAGATGGCCTGTATGGGCCCTTCCATGAATTGTCACATTGTATGTATTGCCTCCTCCACCAACAACAGTCATTTATTTGGAGTAGGAGGGAACACAGAATGAAAAATACAATATGCAGGCACTAGTTGAATGATTCTGAACATAACAGTAGAGGGAGAACCCAATTCAGCTGTTTTCAGCAGTCAAACACAAATTCCAGTTCTGCTTCACTCAACAAACTCTTTGCCGTCTCCATTCTGAAATGCTTTTGGATAAACAACCATGGTTTTCCTAAATGTGGAGACCACTGTAACATAAAATAGTTATTAAGGTATCAGACTAGAACTGGCAATACATTGATGCAGATACCTGATCAGCCATAAGGCTGTTAGATAACCTTTGGCTAAACACTATCTCTCAACCTGAACTGCCTCAAACAGTTGTTGTTAGGATAAAATGGAGGATGTATGCCGTTCTGAGTTCCTTAAAAGAAGAGTGGGCTAGAAATCTGAGAGATAAGTAATTATTTGGAAGTGGGTTCCATGTGTTTAATTTTTTGCTTACT